TCCTCCATCATTGGTCTGCCTATTACCTTCTCAATCAACAGGCATTTGTAGGATTGTCGTAGGAATTCATGCATCGTCTTATTCGCCACGAGTCCCCCTTGTTTGTTTGTATTGAAGTATGTTCAGGCTCTTGATGAACCTCTCCTATTTGAATCCCATCTCAAACGGAAGATCGTCGTTGCATCTTATGAAGCAAATAGCTTGTTATCTTGTATTAGCATCAAACAGTAGGCCGGCCCCCTTTGTGGTTGCATTTTATAGAAGACCGTGAAAACTCGCTTAAGCTCTTGTCTTCAACGATCTTAAACATTCAATCGATACAACCCCAATGACACAACCAGAAACACCTCAGTAAATGAAAAACCAAAGAGCGATTCAAAGAGAATGTACAGGTCTTCTTGAAGTCCAACTCAAGTTCTTGCTTGAGTTCAAGTGATTTAGAATTTATTTAGAATGCAATAGTCAAGTAGTCTGGTTTAATCCTTTCATTTTCAAATTGATTTTGAGCCAGTCCTTGTATTATGTTGAAATTTCGTATTGCATTTTATTCAAGTTTGAATTTGAACTTTTTAGAAATCATTTGAGTTTGTTCAGGTTCAAATCCTTGTTCTTTGTTGTTCGTGCAAGTCCTCTGGGTCATTGGTTCAAGTTCTGTGTATTTTTGTTCGAGTACGAGTCTCCTGTTGTTTTCGTATTGCTGCTCAAATGATGTCTCCAAATAGTTTAAAATCTTGCATTTCAGTAAAATTTTATAGCACCAAGCATATTCCCCGTTGTGGGGGAAATTGGGGAGCTGGCCTTCCCACCACGCTACTAGAGCGTGTATGTAGTGTCTTAGACAGCCGGGCTAAATTTTCATCCCCCACGCTACAAGAGCGTGTATGGGCCTTCAGCAGTACCCGTACAGAACAGCAGTGACTCCCACACGTACTAAGAGCGTTATAGGGCTCTCCCACCTCGTCGTATGCGTCGCCACCGGGCACCCTCCTACCGTGCTACAAGAGCGCGTATAGGTGGTTCTCCGGTCCGCTCAAACGTCGAGAACGGGGTTAAGAAAATTTATACCTTTGGACCGGCGGCATTGTTGGCTCATAGATCGAGGCAAGAGGGTAGTCAAGCATCCTCTCTTTTTTTTTAGATTATATTTTATATATACTTATTTTATTAATTTATCAATCATATTATTTAACTATTAGTATTAATCATAAATTAATTAATTAATTGAATCAAATATAATTAATAATAATTAAACATAATTAATCATAATTAATTATGATTAATTAAATACTGATTATAATTAATATAATTAATTATAAATGATTTGATTAATTATTATTAATTTATAATTAAAATTAATTAATTAATAATAATAATAAAATACAATAATCCCTCTCCTTCTCACTCTCGGGCTCGGCAGTGTCACAGGATTTGGCCGAACAAGCGCGCGGAAGGGATCGAATTACCTTCACAGTATGAGCTCCCGTCGTCTCCTCCGATCAAAATGTCGTAACTTCCGAGCCGCAGGAAGGGAAAGTCGTTCAAGGAGCAAAGTCGGACAAGCCACGAAAGAGCTGGAGAAGCAGCACCGAAGGGGAGAAAGTTTTCTTCGGAGTCAGCGAGCACCTGTGTGCTTCCGATCAAAATGTTGTACTTCCGACCCGACAGAGAGGGAGTCCGGCCGAAGGAGCAACGTCGAACAGCAAAGGGAGGGCCGGAGAAGAACGTGCGACAGAGAGAAAGTTAATTCACAACCGGCGAGCTCTGTTCTTGCACCCGATCAGAATGTCGTAACTTACAATCCGACGAGAAAGGGAAAGTCGGCGGAAGAGCTTCGTCGAACAGCCACGGAGGAGCTTCCGATCCTTCTCACAGTCGGCGAGCTCCGTTCGCTGCTTCCAACCGAGATGTTGTAACTTTCGATCGACTGGAAGGGGGAGTCGTTGAGCGTAGCCGAACAGCAGGGAGGAGTCGGGATCATGAGAGAGTGAGAGAGGAAATTGAGAGTAAGAGAGCCTGAGCTCTCTCATTTCTTCGGTCTTTTATGAGGTAGAGGAATCGTGTGAAGTCGTGTATAGACCCGACGTTGACGCACGAAGCCATGAAGCGGGATGTCCGAATGCAGGATTTTCGGGATTTGCGATCGTTTGAGTCGGCGCCGGACGTCCTCACAGGTACGCAAAAGAATTTTTTTTTATTTGCTTTTGGCTGCCGTATACAGGTCAACAGATTCTTGAAGGAGTTGATCATTCCTGTTGGTCAGGTGCGTAGAGGCTCCAGAGTCGAGATACCAGTCCGTGGAGGATGCTTCATTGGTTGCAAGCAGTGCTGTGTTGTTGTCTGACTGCGGTTTTGGTGTGACGTAGTTGGCGTTAAGCCGATGCCAACAAACGTCGGCAGTATGTCCTCTTTTCTGGCAGATTTGGCATATGAGCGAGGATTTTGTATTCTGTTTCTGAACGGAGACAGGATTCGTCTGAGATCTACCACGACCACGGCGTCCGCGACCGCGATATGCATAGAGTGCGGTTTGTGGTTCTTGATGTATGGTCAAACGCAGGGAATCAGCTTGAAGATGTATTTCTTCACTGATCAGCATTGCGTAAAGATTGTCGAGTTTGAGAGGTGATTGCATTGTCCGGACAGTTGTCTTGAAGGATTGATAGGAAGGAGGTAGCCCGTTCAAGATGTGGAGTATGATATCCTCTGTGTCGATAGAAGATCCGGCTGAAGCTATGTTGTCGACAATCTTCTTGACTTCTGTGAGGTAATTTTGCATAGACATGTTTTTCATAGCAATATTGTGCAACTCATTCTTAAGTTGCATTACCTTGGATTTGTTCGCAGATTGAAAACGCGTTTGAAGAGCTTGCCAGATTTCACATGTCGTTTCAAGTTGCATTACGTAGGGAAGCACTGGTGCCGATATTGTTGAACATAGCGCTGCCGCAAGATTCTGATCGGTAAAGTGCGATTGGGTGGTGGAATAAATCATCGAATTGAATAACTGATTTAAAGAGAAACCGTGAAATGTTTTTTAGGTTTCTTTCCAATTCATAGTTTTTTAAAAACGTGATTAAATTTAATAATTTGCAAAACCCGTTAATTGATTTTACGATTCTACATCTTTTAAAATTTAATCCAAATTAAGCTCCTTTAAATAAATTAAATTACTAATTCACTCCTTTTAAAAATTAGGCCTTATCAATATTCTTGCCCTCTACAGCTAAAATGGTGTGTTTATATATGACTCATCAACGCGTCAAATAGAAGGGCTACGAAGGAGAATAATAGAAAATGCACTCATATCCTGTAGGCACCACTCACATGAGTCACGACCTTAGTCTACCCTTACTTAGGGAAGAAACCTTGGGCAAATAGGGAAACTTAAAATGGTAAAACTCAAGTGTAGAATGAGATGTGGAATTATGGAACTAAGAGTGTTATGAATTGGGAGTAAAATCCTAAACTAACAGATAAATATATAATATATTATTGTTAAATAAGTAATTAAACAAATTCTATCCAAATTTAAATTAAATAATATATAAGCGGTCCTCAAGCTTAATTTCAAGCCTTGAAAAAATTACTTGTTTAATGTTCGCAAGCATAAATAAATGAGTTGGACTTTGTTCATCCCGTGCATTAACTCACTTCCAATCCTACAAAGCTCTAGGTTAGACTTTTATCTATGTATGAAGTTGAAGCTAATTGGTATATATGACTCAGTTTAAAGGGGAGCAATTTATTAGGAAGATTTATCAATAGCATGAAGTGATTATGTCTGGTAATATATTTGATACCCACATACTTCATAATGTATTTCTCATTTATTTTGTTTCTTTTTGTATTCTCCGATGAACCTACTTATTGATCAAACATATTTCGTTTAAGATATAGAAAACTCTTTCCTCAAATAGTAAGAGAAGACAATCAAATATATGATGCTATTAACCTGAATAAAGAACATGGTGAGATTGATTTACATTCATCTAAAGAACATGGAGAGTAACTGAACAAATTAACAAAAAAAATTCTACAAAAAGGGAAGTTGAAATATGCAGTCTGAGAGGTTTTGAAATAGAGAAGAACGTTAAAAAGATCTGGGAAAACAGAACTACTGCCAGCCTCGCAATTAACGGCCAAACCCTTTACCCTTCTTTAATCTTTTCTCTATGCTATATCAAAACATGATTAACAAAAAGACATGCCATGCTAAATTATAAATAAAGTAATCGGTAGTGATAAGATAGACTAGAGGAATTCCGTAAAGCCATAATTCTGGAGAAATTGGGTAATCTGTTTTGCCTAATACATAATCCGTTAAGTCTAAGAAAATTCAATAAATACCTTTCTAAGTTCTTCTGATAATAAAGTTTTCAGATATTAAACATCCATGCCGTTGCAGTAATAACAAATGAGTTCCAGCATGTGAGAGAAATTGGCTTGCCAACCAGCAGGTCAAGGGCTCAGCAGCAAGGCAATAATTCGTAATGGCTGGTGACCATTTCATCAGTTGAGTTTAGTAATAACACATTTAAAAAATTTCATCTAACCCATACAAAATCACTTCAAGCAACAACACATTCACCAATATCTAATTGTTTTAATTCTCTGAAACATTAAGCACATGCACAGAACATCAAAAAAGAAGTAGCTTTGGCCTTCCACGTAAAATTACTACAGAAAAGTGTTCATTAAATAAATATATTGCATCCTGCTGACAGATAGAAGCAAAAGAAAATTATAATAGTACATATTAAAGAAAACGAAGACTAAGAAAATTCCATTTTATAAGAATTTTAATGAATTATCTCAAATGCGCTTTAAAATAAACTAGCCATATGATATGTGCTCGTTCATAATATGTATGGTTGGCAATTGAAAATTGGGCGGGGGCGTTTTCAACCAACTGTGAATGCATCAAAGAATAAAGAAAGAGACCCAGTTAAGCTGCCAGACTGAAGGACCGAAATTATGACCAATGCTCAAATAAACTTTACATTTGACACACAGCATTAAAGCACGCCAAGAAATGCTTTTTGAGCTGTGTTCCACATGGACTCTATCATATATAAGCATATTTCCTTGCAACTGTAACGTAAGAATTTCAGTAAGAGAAGTTGAATATTTAATCCAATAAATAATTAACTAGTCCACAATTTTTTTGTCAAAACGAGAAAAGGAATTCAAGCAGAAAGAAAAAATTTTCCTTAGTAGCAGAAATTTTAATTAGATTGTTCTGGACAATATAAGAAGGGATAGTATGCTAGTAACCAGAAGGGGATACTCATAAGAACCAGCTGAATAACGAAAAGAAAAGGAGTGCGTCTCAACAAATGTTCAAAATTAAAATGTCAAATATGCAACTAAAATATTTCCAGTGGAAGTAAGCTATTTATTGTCATTTAGAGTTGAACATTTGGGCTTTTCTTAGTATGAAAAAGTCAGTGAAACCATCTACTGATGCTCGTAGCTTCTGCAACGGCTGTTTAGTAGCTTGGTTCATATCAATAATGCAATTCAGGAATTATGCTAATGTTGACCTCTGTATAATACCCAAAGGAAATTAAAAAAAAAAAAAGAAATCATACCTTAGCTCTGTCGAATCCCCGAAATCCTGCTCATATACCTCGTTTCGTCGAGGGAATCCCGTAAATCCTGCTGCGAGTGCGTCTCTTCCCGTATATCTCGTGAGCTTGCCCCGATTACACATCCGCTCGAGTCAATAAAATGAAGACGAAGAGAGGGGCTTCGTTTCGGCTTCTTCTCGCTTTGATCCCGTCGACCTCTACCCCAGTCGGCCTACACCCGAGCATAATACGACCTCCCTCCTCCCTTTCATCCAACTCCAGCAACAAACTCAAACTTCCCATTCAAAATTCCACACCCTTCTTCCCATCTGATCTTCTAGCCGGACCCAACCCTGCATCCTGACCTCAAACCAGCAACCATACCTCCGAGCTCGCAAGACCTCTCCCATAGCCACGACTCCAGCAGCTCTTTGACTCCAATCTCTCTTCCGATTTCTACCTCCCCCAGCCCTATTTTTCCAAACCGAAAACCTTAAGGCCACCGACCCCCTCTTCATCATCCAGCCACTGATCCAGAGAGAGAAAGAGAGAGAGAGAGAGTTTTTTCTCTAACCTAGCCAAGATCCATCTCTGTCCTTGTCGATCAAGGCCCGGTCTCCATAGGTTCCTGCGACCTCCAAAACCACAAGCAGCTGGCCTCCATCTAACTCCAGATCCATCTTGCTAAACTCCTGCACTAGCTCCTGCCGCAAGACTCACGAAGCCACGAGACCTCTTAACCGAAGTCTTCTATATCCTCGATCTCCACCAAGCCGAAGCCAACCCCGAGCTCCTCACCAAATCTCCCTTTCATACCTGAAGTCGACCGATCCCTCCTATCCATTCGACTTGTTCTATACAAGACCTATCCGATCTCTACCTTTTTAAATCCACCTACAGCCCTCTCTCCTCACCTGACCCCTCTTTAATCTCACACAGGTGGTCACTCACTCTACCCCACTAAATGTATTTTATGTTGGCATTAATATTAGGATTATTTCTATTATTAATCATGGTTTAAAATTGCGCAATATGAGGCTCGCCTTGAGGCCCGCCTTTGCGCAATTCTAGTAAAAAGCGCCTCGATGCTTACGCCTCGAGTTTTTTTTATGAGGCTTGCACCTCAACTTAGTTGAGGCCCGCCTTGAGGCTCGCCTCGCCTCACTGGCATGAGGCTTACGCCTCACGCTATATATATTAAAACTTACATAAATCTTGAAGTAAATGCCGGACATTGGACTCTATAGGAGAGGAGGAAGGGGAGAGAGTAATTCACCATAATGATGATTCAAATGAAGAACCCCTTAATGATGACAGTGCTAATGACTTATGAGTTCTTATGTGATATGTCATTGCTATTTATTTTTGGAAATTGGAATTATATGTTTATGAAAAGAATATTGGGATTTGGGAAAGATAGAATTTTGAGTTGAACTATATTTCATGTTGTCTTATTATTGAGATATTTTGATTTCATTTCAAATCTTATGTTTTTTTATGTTTTATATTATTCACTCATTAGTATATAAAAAATTTATCAATTTATGTTTACACAATCTTTTGATTTTGAGGCTTACGCCTCAAAACGCCTTAAGGCTTACGCCTCGCCTCACGAATGAAAAACGCCTCAATACCCAAATACGTAATTTTAAACATTGTTATTAATGTTAGTAATAGTATTATTCCTCTCATGCTAATATTATTACTGTTAATAATATTAATGATGTTATTAGTAATATTAATAATAGTAATATATTTATTCTGTTGTTATTATTGTGCATATATATAATATAAAAAAAGGAAAGAAAAAAAAGTGTTGTCTCAATTTTTGTACCCTCCACATCGCCGATCGCCAAGGTATAACCTCCTACCTAAACTTGGGAGAACCCACCCTCGGCACTTGCAACGGGACGAATAACCACCCATGTACGCTTTTCTTAACACGGTGGGAGGAAACTCGTCACGGTGCTTGTGGCGAGGCGGGTAATCCCCCTAAAGTCCTTTTTCGGTGTTCGTGGCGCGCCAAGGGACCACCCATGCACGCTTTTCTTAGCATGGTGGGAGGGAACTTAGTGCAGTGCTTACAACGAAGTAGGTGATCCCTGTGCGCGCTTTTCTTAGCACGACGAGGCAATAAAGAACTATTTTTTTTCAAAAATTTGCTTTTAAAAAACCAATGCAGGCCTTTCTTGGCATGGTGGATGACAAAAAAAATTACCGCCGCGGTGTCTCACAAACACCAACCGTGCACGTCTTTCTTGACGTGGCAGGTAGGCGGCCTCTTGATTTTTTCCCCTAAGTAGGGGATATGCCGAGAGGCTGCCAAAATTTTGTCTGAAATAAGACAAGAACTTGAACTCCAACTTAAATAAATGCAAAGGATTATGACTTGAATACAACATCAAACTAAATTAAGCTTAATCAAATAATGTTTGATGAACAATGACTTGAACTTAAACTAAATTGAGAATTCAAGCTGAAACCAAACGAGTTGATCTCAAATGCAAAGAACTTAGTGTGGACTCGAACGAACATGAAGGACTTGTGTAAGACTTGAGTTGGACTCAAGCTGAACTTAACTTAACTTAAACTTGAATGTGATATGAGCTACAATGACTTTGAATTCAAACTTGGATTAGAGTTTGAACTTGACAAAGAACTCAAACTTGAATCATATGCAAGAGAACTTGATTTGAACATAAACAAAAGAACTTGTAAGCTTGGACTTGATTGGAATCAAGCATGGTGGGTATGAATATGAACTTGAACCTCACTTAACTTAAATAAATCATGAAATGAATGATTTGAACACAAGCAAAGGTGTTGAAGACTCATTTTGGGACCAAACTAATTGAGATCTTAGTGGATATGACTTGGACCATTTGAACTCAAAATTCAAATGATCAAAAGACTCAAATCAAAGTTGATTTGAACTTGACTTGAATCAAAAGACCACATGAAACTCAAGAATGATAAATCTTCAGTGTACATAAATGGAATCCAATCAATTTGAAGCATTTGAACGATTGCAAGCAAGTATCAATAAACAAATTATCATGTAGACCATGAACTATTCTTAAAGGCATGTTGTTATAAAGGATCTTCAACTTACACATAAGCAATGTGTAGCCTAATGTCCATGTCAGTGGATCCATAAGTTCATTCAAAGAAGTTGGATAGCATTTAACGAAAGAAGCCCCCAATGAAAGATATAATCCGTCTACAATGATTATGCCAATCTAGATGCTGATGTTAAGTGGAAATAATGATAACGTTCTTATTCATGTCATAAGCCTTCAAGAAATATAATGGGTATAGTGATTTACTATTTGTTATACACAATAAATGCAGCATGCTTGCAAACATCGAGGGAAAACAACTTGATTACAACAGTGTATTAGTGTGTTCATGGATAGAACACCAAAGCTCATACACAACTAATGTCACTCAAGTGTAAACAAATACACAAAACTCCCTCAAATGACAATAACCAGCACATATGAAGAAATGGATGGTGAGAAATACAACAAATGCAAAATCCTTCAAGTCATTGTAGAAGACTTCATATACGCAATACACTATCTACAGACAAATATTGAAGAACTTTGATAAATGCAAGAGCCCTTATAATACATTGAAAAATCTGCAATACATACAAGTTCTCTACGAAGACAGATGTATGCGTCACCGTAGCTTATATAAACATAGGTACACAAATGGGTAAGCGTAATTATAAACCAGCATGGGCCCCGATGAGCGTGTTATTGGTACACATGTGACGTCTGGAGATGTTACGCGGGTTATTAAATTTAAACCCGATCCTCCTAAGTAGGTAAAAAGGAGTCAACAGGATTTAATTATCAAATGCCCCCAAACACCCGCATGGGTCCCGGCGAGCGTGTTGTAAGTACACACGTGACGTCTATGAATGTTTCACGGGTTAATAAGTAAATTCAAGTTCGAACCCGGTCCTTCTATGCAGATCAATAGGAGTTGACAGGGTTCGAACCATTAAATAAATATACGATCGGTAACCAGTATATTTATTTTAAAGCATTCATATTTCAAGACCTATAACAATATGAATTCACAAATAAAGACATAAAGCCTACGGAACTCGATCCCCTATCGGCAAGTTAATAGGGTCAACAAGGTTCAAGCTTTAAATGGAAATAACCCCAAACACCCCGATGATGGCCGTGTTGAACAAAATCTCAACCGAAGGGGTTCACAAACACCTTCAAATGCATTCCAAGCTCCACCCAAATACCCACATAATCCAAAACTCCACAAATCCCAAAATCCAGATATTTAAAATTGAAATAAATCTATCAACACTTAAAGCAAAATTCATCCACCCTCCGCAACAGTTTGCCGAGGTGGACAAATTCGAAAAATATTTTGGCCCACAAATGGCCAAATGCCTAGTCGAAAATATCACTAGGATTCATTCTCAAATAGTCTCCTTCCATTAAGGACGTTATACGTGTCCTCTAACCGGCGATTTTGCCGCAAAATGGCACCGCAGGATACACGGTTATGACCCGGGGCCCTCTGAACAAAGTGGTTTTGCCGCCAAATGGCACCACGAAATACTGATTATGGCCAGAGTCAATATGTTCCTTAGTCGCATCAAATCCTTGAGATATGAATCAGTGGGATATAATTGATAGGGCACAAAACCCTCTGTTTGCTAAGGTGGATTCAAATTTGTCTCCTTAGACAAATATTCCCCCAAGGTCTACAAGGCCCCCTTGAATGAAGAAACTCATGGCTGCCGACAAGGATCCTTCTGTCAAGTTTGGTCGACTACCACCTCTGACTAAGTAGACCATGGACAATGATGTCCCGGAACGACGGAACCATGGGATCTTGATCGGGTCTATCATCCATTCGTCCACCATCTGCTTTAAGTGCAAGATGGTGAAATTTCTATTTTAAATATCAAACTTTCCAAATATACATACCTATGCTGCTACTATATGCTTGATACTACGTATCTTGCGCCTATAGGAAACTAGAACTCAGATCATAAAGTCCTCGCAAAATGAGGGTGAAATCTCTTAGTGTTTTATCTACAAACCCATCTGCCTTCCCAAAATTTACCCCAGAACTTAATTCCGCTAAAACTCTCTTGCCGAAAATAAAAGCATCAGTAAAGCGGGCGGAGGCCGGGGCCAAATTTTCGGAGCCCACAGCTAAGCCATCCAGTTAAGGAGTGCCTTTATTAATTTCAATTTTTTGTTCCTGCATGCTAGCTTAGCTTAGAACAAATAAGTACTACTGTAGCTCTGGACAATTATAATTAAATAAGGGAAATTTGATTTTATGCCTCATAATAGTCATAATAGGTCAACCATCCCCTTTAATTAATTTCTCTAAAGAAATATGCCCAAAAGTTTATTTCACACCAAAATGCCCATCTTATATTCAAGGACTACGTATTGAAGTCACTCACAAACAAAATTTCTTCAAGTAGGATCATATTCGAACCTTAGATCAAATCATTCTTAGAATAATATTCATGTAATAACCTAGATCGAACCGCTCCAAGCCTTCCTTTTAAAGAGGCAAACTCGACTGACTCCTAACACACACAATAAGTACCCCCATTTTACAGGACAACAAGCTTGTCGTACCCCTTCGCACTATCAATTCTCTCTCCAATTACACAAATAGCACAATTTCACCCGCCTCCCAAGATTCTACCACTTGTTGTAGCCCTCTTTGTTCGATTTACGATGGGGTTGAAGGTTAGGGCATCCACATCTTCTCCCTCTCACAATCGTTGCTCCTATTCTCCTTCCCCTCTCTCAACTGAAAATCTCTCCCCTCTCCTTCCTCTTCACCTTTTTCTCTAGCAGTTGCCAAACCCCGCAATCATCGAATCTCTCCACTCTCATCTCTCTTCATCTCACTCTTAACCGTTCCCAAAATAGCAACCACTATTATAGAAGGTTCCTCTTCTCCTTTTTAGATTGAGAAGGACTTGAGAGTGTGTTCCTCCTACATTATTGATTGAACATCAACATGATTAAAAACTTTGTGTCACTCTCTTATAAGTAA